TTTACGTTTAACTCATCAGCAGCTACTTATAGTATATGGGAAGAGTTACTTTCTTCAATCTATATTTAGGCTTTCCTGTTCTGTTTCGATGCAGAGGAGGTGAACATCTAAGTAATCCAGTCCATACTAGATACAATATCTTAAAAAGGATGGATTACAAGCAAGGTGATGAAGTTGAAATACCATTAGGAAAGTCGAATATTCATCTATGACATGCCATATGGGGAAATGGCCGTCTGATGAAGAAATGAAGGATTGTGGAGAACGGACAAGCCAGGAACCCAGCCATACTGCCTAAGAGCCTCATCATGAATTCATGATATTCTCTAAACAAGAAAGAACACATAAACGGCAAGATTAGCAAGCACACGAAACGAATTGCATACCTTCACATTTAATAAAATTGAGGTTAATTTCACTGCGATATTAGACAACGGCTAGCATGTTGATGCCAGCCTTTAATTTTCTGTTGGTGCATTTAAATGTGTGGAGAAATGATCTTAGTTGTTTATCAAATCTTGTTACTGACTTGTAATTCCGGCATTTGGAGGAAAAAAAAAGGTTTCTGATAAGAGTGTTTTGCTATGCAAAATAATTTCTTCCTACCCTATCTTGAGTGCCTGTCCCTATTCCTCGGCGCACTCTGAAATTTTTGTCAACTTCTTGTTCGAGAACAATGCAATGAGAGCTTTTTTTGGAGCAGGCAAGTGAATGAGAGGAAAAATAAAAGACAAACTTCACGAATTTGTAAGGTCACTAACATTTTAATCTAATACTATTCATTAGACCCCTGTACTGTTGTAACATAGCGTCCGTTGAGACCTTGTAAAAAGATAGAAGGAAGTGATCTTTAACTTATTGTCTTGCCTACTATATAGTTTCCCTCCCCTACATGGCTACATCTCTCTCTCTCGCCCCCTCTTCCTCTCTATTTTTATTATAAATTCTTGGCAATAACGGTGTTACCACTGAAGAACTGCAACAGAAAATTTATAATCACAAAATGGAGGTCCAAAAACTCCCTAGAACATCCAAGCCCTCTCTTTCTCCCACTCTAGCAGAAATCCAAAAGGGTGTCCATGACTCGCAAAGCGACATGATCTCCGATTACAGCAGTCCTGTCCATCATCAAGTCCTTGAGCTAGGCCATGCTTGTAGCTCTATACCACCATCAAACCCTTTTGTTCTTTCATTTGACAACTTAACATACGGTGTCAAAGGTGGCCAAAAAATGTCACTTTCAATCTGTGGAAAGGACTCATCACTTGATTCTTCAGAGACAGGCAAGAAAATTTTGTTGAATGATATATCTGAAGCAGCAAGAGAAGGTGAAATCACAGCTGTTCTTGGGGCTAGCGGGTCTGGTAAATCTACTTTGATTGATGCACTTGCAGACCGAATTGCGAAAGAGAGCTTGAAAGGTTCTGTGACTTTGAATGGTGAGGTCTTGGAATCAAGGCTACTGAAAATGATATCTGCTTATGTTATGCAAGATGATCTTTTGTTTCCTATGCTTACTGTGGAAGAAACGCTAATGTTCTCAGCAGAATTCAGGCTTCCTCGCTTCCTCTCCAAGTCGAAAAAGAAAGCAAGAGTCCAAGCCTTGATTGATCAATTAGGCCTGCGTAATGCAGCTAATACTGTGATTGGAGATGAAGGGCACAGAGGTGTGTCAGGAGGTGAAAGAAGAAGAGTTTCTATTGGAATTGACATCGTTCATGACCCGATTCTCTTGTTTCTCGATGAGCCAACTTCAGGGCTTGATTCAACTAGTGCTTTTATGGTTGTTAAGGTCTTGCAGAGGATTGCACAGAGTGGAAGCATTGTGATCATGTCCATACATCAACCGAGTTACAGACTCTTGACCTTACTTGACCGTTTGATCTTTCTTTCACACGGACAAACGGTGTATGCTGGCTCTCCAGGAAGTCTTCCAGAATTCTTTGCTGAGTTCGGACATCCAATTCCCGAGAACGAGAACCGAACTGAGTTTGCTCTGGACTATATTCGCGACCTTGAAGAAATTCCAGGTGGAACCAAGACCTTAGTTGAATTCAACAAGTCATGGCAGGCCATGAAAAATGCCAAGAACAGATTCTCCAATGCGTCAAAGCTCTCACTTAGGGACACGATAAGTGTCAGCATTTCGAGAGGAAAACTGGTCTCTGGTGCCCCGAATGATTTGAACTCGACATCTTCACCAGTTTTAAGTTTTGCCAATCCACTTTGGGTTGAAGTGATGGTTATAGGCAAAAGATCATCATTAAATGCAAAAAGAATGCCTGAATTATTCGGAATTCGCCTTGCTGCTGTTCTTGTTACAGGTATAATCTTGGCTACCGTTTATTATCATCTTGACAACTCTCCCAGAGGTGTGCAAGAGCGATTAGGCTTTTTCGCTTTTGCCATTTCCACTACTTACTACACATGTGCAGAATCCATCCCTGCCTTTATTCAAGAACGTTATATTTTCATGAGAGAAACTGCCTACAATGCTTATCGTCGCTCGTCTTACGTTCTTGCTCACTCTCTAATCTCAATTCCCTCTCTGATCGTGCTCTCTATTGCCTTTGCCACAACAACATTCTGGGCAGTAGGACTTGATGGTGGGTTTTCTGGGTTTTGTTTCTACTTCTTCACAATCTTCTGTGCATTTTGGGCTGGAAGTTCTTTTGTCACGTTTCTCTCAGGCGTTGTCTCTCATGTTATGTTGAGTTTCACGCTTGTGGTAGCCATTTTGTCCTACTTTCTTCTCTTCAGTGGATTCTACATTTCTCGTGACAGAATTCCTCCATTTTGGTTATGGTTTCACTATATGTCCCTAGTGAAATATCCATACGAAGCAGCTTTACAAAATGAGTTTCACAGTCCAACAAAATGTTTTGTCATGGGCGTGCAAATGTTTGATAACACACCGCTTGCCGTGATGCCACTATCAATGAAATTAAAGATGTTGAAGACTATCAGCACCCGTTTGGGCCGGAACATTACAAGTAACACTTGTGCAGTCACAGGAACAGATATACTGCAGCAACAAGGGATAACACAACTCAGCAAATGGAATTGCTTGTGGATAACTATTGCTTGGGGATTTTTCTTCAGGATTCTGTTTTACTTTGCTTTGTTGTTGTGGAGTAAGAATAAGAGGAGGTAAATAGAATCATTGTTTATCTAGCTTGTATCTAACAAGAATGGAGCTACCTAAGAACATGGCCATCTTTTCCTTATGTAATCGTTAACCCAGTTATATATAATTTCTCTGTCGAAAAGGTTGCGCGCAGTAGGGGTATCCTGAATAAAGGGGTTCGGGTTTTCATTCATAATTGCACTTAAATTTAATTTCTAATATTTTATAAAATATAAATTCAGTCCATTCTTTTTTTTTTTTTTGGAATCCGAACAGATTTGATATCTAGGTTGGATTAAATTTTTTATGAATATTATAGGTATCTGTATATATTTTGAACATATTAATTTTTTTATTCATTTACAATTTTAAAAATAAATATTAGATTGTAACCGTTAAAACTAAATAAAACTTTTAATATATATATATATATATATATATATATATATATATATATATATATGAAGGACAACATAAAAATTATTAAAATTTCAATGAAACGAAACAAAAGAAAACAAAAAAAAATTACAGTAAATATTTTATTAAATAATTATGATATAATATAATACAAAAACAAACTAGTTAAAAGAAGCTATAATGTGCATTTAGGTTTGTAATTTGAGTAAGAAAATAAAAGTTGAATTTAGATTCTTGAAATTCTACATTTTTTTCATAGTTTCTTGAAATTGTAAAATACAATGTTACTTTATTAAATCAAAATTTAAAATAAACAATTATAATTCATGCTAAAGTAGAGAATAGAGAGAAGAAAATGTGATTAAAAGAATGAGATGTGGTTGTAAATACGAGAGTGAGAAAAATAAATAAATAAAAAGAAAAAATATTATTTATATTAATCATTCATATTATTTATACTGGATTATATGAGTTAAATCGAATTCAGCAGGTTTTAAAAATATAATATTTATTTATTAGGTTTCTTGATCAACCATCATCCATAATATTTATATTATTTAATTTTATTAGAAAATATAAATATTAGATGAAACCTGATTTTTTTTAACACCACTACGCGCAGGTTAAAATTTACAAAATTTTAACAGTTTGATATCGTCAAATATGAAAAAAAAAGAGACTTGCTTCCACTTAGACATGTGAAATGCCTTTTTTACGTCAAAGTTATACATAATGAAAATATTATTTTTTATTATAATAATATTATAAATAGAAAATTGTAGTCATTTGAATGTGAATCTTATTGTGATTTTTAGCAAAAGATGTTTACAAATTTGGGAAAAATTATCAAGATTAAAATCAATTTACGGATATTTAGTTAAAATTATTGTTTAAGGTATTTTTTGATATATAAAATGAATGATATTTATGTCTAAGTAAATTAAATATAAAAACAACACATACAATTTTATTACGATTTACAAAAATATATTTAATCCCTTTATTTCTAGTTCACTTATGATTATTATCAATTTTATAATTTATTTACTTTCTTTTAAAAAAATAAAAAAATGAAAAAGGAGATGTAGTTAAGATGGACAAGTTTGATTAAAAAAGACATTTTTTGAATAAAAAGTACTAAATTGAGGAGCATCAACACTAATCAACGGGTTATGGAATTATTATTTATGCTATAGGGACTAAGTAATTAGTTTTTCTGAAGTACAAGGACTAAGTTATAATTAACTCATTTCTTTTGTAATGAAGATTTATATATAAAAAAATTATTTAGCAACAATAGATGTTTGCTTAAGTGGGCCGCACACTGTAGGAGCCCGGCCTGTAGATTCAATGGGTTAGGTGAAAGAATTTCCTGTCTTAAATTCTTATCCTTTGGATTAAAATAAATGCATCCTGTCCGTCCAAATGAAGAACTCTCACCTTTTTAATTAAAGAGATAAAACGAAGGAAAGGGCCGTCGGTTAAATAGCCATTTCTCTCTCTCTCTCTCTCTGAACTCAATTCACATTCGGAAAAGTTAGGGTTTTCAAATTTCAAGGTACGGACTCCTGAATTGAATTGTTCTTAATTAGAAATCGGGGCTTATTTAGCTCTTTTCACTGCAGTTTCCATTCAATATCGAGTATCTTTTAGTTAATAAGTGATTCATTATTGGTGTTTGCTGATGAATTCATTTAAAAAAAGTTGCAATTTTTTTTGTGGGTTTTCAAATCCGAATTTTTTGTGTGTGTCAAGATGCTAGCTTTTTAATATGTGTCTTGATAGATCTGATTGGTTTCTTCTTGCCCTGGTGCTCTTAAATAAATTCATGTACGTGTTGCTATGTAGTCTATTACAATTGAATGACTAATTTGTTGGTGAAGCTGCTGGTGATTAATTTGTTTGTTTGTTGTTGTTCTGTGGAGTTCAAGAAAATAAAACTGTTTCTTAGGGAATGTTTTGTTTGTTGCAGTTTGAAAATGCCGCGATATGATGATCGATATGCCAGTACACGTCTCTATGTTGGACACCTGGCTGCTAGGACACGATCACGGGATCTGGAACATCTTTTCAGCAAATACGGGCGGTAATTTCTCTATTTTCAAGTTTAAAGTGCTTGAGATAGTGGTCTTAAGCTGTGATAGTGTTCTCTCTTTCTCACAAGCACACACGTGAATTGGGCACTGTGGGTTTTTATCCTCTTAGCTAGCTATTGAAGAAGTTATTCGAATATAATTTGTGCAGTTTATTTCTAGGCTTTGAAGTTTCTAATGAATGATGCTCTAACATGAATTTAACACAATCGATCTATTCTCTGCAGTGCAGTAATAGTATATCTATTTGTTTCCTTTGTTTAACTGTCATTGATTGGTAAGAGGGAGTGTTTTTCGCCCCTGCAAATACTTTGGAAACATGAGGTCTTCAACAGTTTGTTTTGCTCGTGGATTTGTGTCATTCACGTTATCTGTGTGGGTGGACCTAGGTGTCATTTTTTAACTTGAATGATCTTGTTGAAGGTTTCTGGCCTATTGCCTAACCTGGAGGTCTATGGTGAGAGGGTTGCCATGATGGAATTGGTGGAATTTCTTGCCAAGTTATAGGAGACTTTGGCGATTCTTTCTATTATGTTATTGCGTGTTTTTATGGAATTGGCAACAATCTCAAACTGGTGTTTAGTTCGTCTATGAGGGGTGAAGTATCATACACTTGCAGTACTTAAGTAATGATGGCCTTACTGTTTGTGGCAACCATTTCGCAGAGTACGAGATGTGGATATGAAGCGTGACTATGCATTTGTCGTAAGTCTTTTCCATTTCTTCTCATGGTTCTCACTGAATGGAATTTTTCAGAGCATTGGTTGAGCACATATCCTTTTATTTTTTCATGATGAACACTGCTTTATATATTATGTGATACACATATGGTGTGTTCTGCCGGGTTGTTCTCACCCTCTTTAAACAGGAATTTAGTGATCCCAGAGATGCTGATGATGCAAGGCATTACTTAGATGGCAAGGAGTTTGATGGAAGTCGTATCATTGTGGAATTTGCAAAGGGGGTAAGTTCTGTCTAGTTAATGTTTTCATTTAGTATACTCACAAACTCAAAACATGCAATTTTAAATTAGTAGACTAGGCCTGTATTGGTTTTGGTTTTATAGGATTAACTGGAAGCAAATTGGTTGTATGTAGATGGATCCAAGTTCAAATCCTAATCCAAATTGAAGCAAATTTATAGTTTTGTGAGATGTCAAACTACTTTATTCTTGTTGCTCTTGTGGGCTTCCAGATTATTTGATTTATTTTTCCATTCACAAAGATTCTTAATCCTTATTCATTGAACTTGATTCTATTGCTTGAAGAAGGTTGAGGAGGTTGATAACTGGTGACTTAATTATTCACTTCCCAATTGGCTCTCCAGCCAAAAGCATGATATGTTCACTTTTGAAATTGTGAATGCTATTGATACGCATTTACCAAATTAATGTTTTTTCTTGTTGGGAATTTCTAGGTACCTCGTGGTTCCCGAGAATATTTGGGCAGAGGTCCTCCTCCAGGATCTGGACGCTGCTTTAATTGTGGCATTGATGGCCACTGGGCTCGAGATTGCAAAGCTGGAGACTGGAAGAACAAGTGTTATCGTTGTGGGGAAAGAGGTCATATAGAGAGAAACTGCAAGAACAGTCCCAAGAAACTCACGTAATTTTCACCTCCTTGTCATTTCCTTCCTATCCTGCTACTGCTTGTGCAATTTTTCTTGTTTCTGTGATAATTTTCTACTGATGCTCAATGGTGCTCTGTTTTTTTCTTCTTTTTATTGTATGTTCTATACAGTAGGCGGGGGAGGAGTTACTCTCGATCACCAGGTAGATCACGCTCTCCTCACCGTGGCAGAAGCCGCAGTCCAAGTTATAGCCGAGGTCGAAGCTACAGGTCTGTGGTTTTTCTTTGAAAGCATATGATTATGCAATTTCTCATATCACACATAGTATGGTGTTCTTGATGATTTTTGGGTTTTCATTTTTTGTAGTTTGGTTTAACTGGATCTTCTGCTCTTTTTCAGCCGATCAAGATCCCCACCACCAAAGAGAGAGCGAAGTGTTGAGAATGAGAACAGGTCATTGAGCCCTGAACCAAGGAGTACAAAGGCCAGGAAGCGCAGCCCAACACCTGATGAAGGCAGCCCACGCCCTTCTCCCAAATCTCGAAAACTGGATGATGAGCAAGATAGAGAGTACAGTGGCAGCCCCAGTTGAAGAAGCAGAAGCAGAAGCAGAAGCAGAAGCCCTCGAGATGAGAGGTACAGAAGTCCTCAGACTAATGGTCGCAGCCGCAGTCCTAGTCCCAGGGATGATAGAAGCCCCGTTGATGATGATTATGAGGACAACAACCGCTCCCCGAGAGATAGTGACGTGTCACGTTGAAATGCACCATCCCAATGGAATTGGTGTATGTTTGCACTTTCCAATCTTCACCAAGACCTTAAGTTTGTTCTGTTTAGATGGTCAAACATTTATATGCTAAGTAGAGATGTAATTTGAAACTTTTTATTTGGATTAGGGAGCCTATTTTAATAATTTGGTATGGAGAGCTATGCATTCAATTCGTTTTGTTTTATTTTTTGCTTTTAGAACCTACAAACTGGATGGCCTGACAATATTATCCCAGGACATCTAGGGCAAATGGCAATCATGAGCTCAACTAGTGTGGATGGAGCTGAATGTTTATTTATTTCGCAAAAAAACTGAGAAAAAAATATCAGTGCATGCTTCTGCCCTATAATGAGGTCCCAACGAACTTGAATTTCGAATCAACTTTGCCTGGGTTGTGCATTGCGTTCATCCGTTGTGCCCTAAAAACTGAACTTGGCAGCGACAGTATGGTTTTTGTTTAGATTGCCGCTCAAATTCTTAGCTAAAGATCAAATAAAACGGTGAGCAATTTCCATTGCCAGGTTTTGGGATGAAAATATCAATTCAAGTATTTTTGAAGGGTTTTTGGCGAAATTAATCTGAATTCTGAAATCGATTTTGTGTACAACGGAGGATTATCCAGATGCTTTTTTGTAATCAACTACACGTTTCGTCGTGGAGTTCGTTTACTGTCAAAGCCCAGGAGCTATTTCGGATTTCTTGCTTCCAAGAATCCATCTAATCCTCGAATATGTCACCCGCCATTTCTCTGCCCTCCTTCAATTGTGTGATCTTTGCAACGCGCCGGTCACCCCAGAAAGGAAAGTTGAACAATGCAAAGATGCCCGGGGCAACGCCAAAACTTAGCAACACTACAGGCTTCGGTACCAGCAAGAAAGAGCCATTATGGCGGTGCGTGGAGGGTTGTGGTGCTTGCTGCAAGTTGGCTAAGGGCCCTGCTTTCGCCACTCCTGAAGAAATCTTCACAAACCCCTCTGATATCGAGGTTCGCCTTCTTAATATTTACATTGCACATAATTTGTTCGACGGAATGTGTCTAAAAAGAAACCAAAAGACTAGCGAAGCTCTTACTGTTTTTTGTTAATTCCTTTTCTTTTGCTGAATTATGGATTTTCAGCTTTATAAAAGCTTAATAGGCCCGGATGGATGGTGTATACATTATGAGAAAAGCACACGCAAGTGCTCAATTTACCCTGGTGAGTGGTGATTATCACTAGCTCCATTCTTGATCAACTTCTTGCTGTCATCTTTAATTTTGTAATCGTTTTGCTTTCTACGGGCTTTCTTCTTCTTTCAGATCGTCCCTATTTTTGTCGTGTGGAGCCAGATATATTCGAGTCACTGTATGGCATTACCAAGAAGAAATTCAACAAGGAGGCATGCGGGTTGGTCCATCTACTTTTGCTTTCACGCAAGGCTCTAGCTGTATGTGACCTTAGTCATATGCTCATGTTTCATCTTTGTTCTCTTATGTTGCTTGCAGCAGCTGTAGAGACACTATTAAGGAAATCTATGGTTCACATTCCAAGGAACTGGACACCTTCAATCGCTCCTTAAGGAGTTCTGATTAGTTAAATAGATCCGACTTGCCCTTGCTTAAACTGCTCAAGGTCATTTTAACCTCGATCCTTTTCCTTTTTATTTGTTCATTGAGCTGGTCAGAAAGTTTAGAGTATGAAGGTCTTCCTGGATAATCAGATCAAATATAAACTTTTGAACAGGATTGGGGCTGTTGTCCTATGCCACAAGGAAAAGGGTATAAAGAGAGATGAAAGTGGGAGTCTTGTGCATGTACATTCAACTGTGCTGTAATACGATACCACTAGTGTATTAGATGCTGGCAAGATCATCAAGCAGAAAGCATAAACTTCCTTTCGGATTGTCCTTGCCAGTCTTCCATAGAGCCCTTTTATGGAAAAATTTTCCGTGTTGTGGCTGGATTAAAGATCTCAAGGACCAGAATTAATCCTAGTATATAGGTCAAGAGATCAGATAGCCTGCTGTCTTGGCTTCATTAAATCTGAAGGTGCTGGAGGTCCCTTAATTCAACTGAAACCAGCAGACTCTGTAAGATAAAGACTTCCCCTACTTTGTCTATGGAGTCTGATTACTCTCCTATAATCATAAATCTATTAGTTGGGCATGAATTTGAATCATCATGAATAGTCAGAAATTCAACCTATTATTCATGCTCTTGGTTTTTTTCAAAAAACAATTGTTTTCAAGTAATGCATATCCGCGCTTTCAATTTGTACTGAAAACTAGTTTAGCTTGATACCTTCTACGAGCAAACTGCTTACAATTTAGCTAGTTTGTTTATTTTGTGTTGCATGTCATGCATATTTTGAGATTGTGAAGCCTTCTATATGCGTTGGCAAAGTTATAATTCCAAGGTGTCGTGGTATTTGCAGCATTGAGCCTTGTGGATTTAACCAAGAGCCTGAATTAGAAAAAAACTGCGTCACCTTTTGTTTGTATTTTTATTTATACATGAGATGATTAGCTTTGCGAATGATGATCCACACTCTTGTTGAGTGATAGAAGAAGCGTGTGGAACTATTCCTGTCAGCATCGTAGTTACCATATTCTGTTAAAACCATTGCCCAGACTAAAAAAGCAGGAAACATAGCCAGCACCCACCTGCAACAACATACATGACTCTCTCTTCATTCTTGGATTTTGATGCTTTCTCTAGTTTCCCTCTTCGTTCTTGGATCTTGATTGCTTTCTTTATGCAGCCCTCATTTCTATCACTTCCACTATTGGATCCTCTGCTCAGACATTATGGCCACGTCTCTCTCATCTAGTGGCCTAGCAATTTTTGCTCATTCCCGCAACCTCACCACCACCATCATTGTCTCCAACGCCACCTCCCTCGCCTTTCTTGCACAACCTGATTCTGCCCTTTGTTAGGTTACAGCCTAGCGAGTTAAGTCTAGAAAGAAATAAGAGAGAAGAAGAAGATGCAGAGCAAGAAGAGTTGATTCGGAAATTGTGCTTCATTTTTACATCCACTGTTTTTTATACTACCTCAAGTAACAAACTTACACTTTCCAACAAACAATTGTAACTAACAACTTCTTAGCTACTCTAACTGCCAAACTAACAGCCATAACTAACTACCTAGTACAAGAGACTTATTAGCACATGCTGAATTAACTACTGCCCTTACAATCACGTGCAAAATGTAACTATTGTTGCTGCATGCTATTGTTTCATCATTTGTAATTTTAACAATACCCTCCCCATCAAAAAATTCTGCATCATATTCTTCTCTAATCCCTCCCAAATAACATCTTCAGGAAATGAATTGGAAAGTTGAATTAATCCAAATTATATCAGGTTCATTCGCCGAGCAAATCGTCCTAGTCTTGGTGACTGACACCAGTCATCCTTGAGATTGGTGAAAATTCTTGGTGGGCGCTGTTAGCTTTTGTTTGCAGGGTTGTTGTTGATCGGCATTTCACTTATGGTAAATGGGTTCCTTTCCTTTTCCTTTGCTATAGGTATAGATTAGGACTTCCCTCTTTTGGTTTGATCTTCTTGTCAAACTGATCTGTTTAAATCTGCCAATGCAAGTCTTTTCGATCTTTGAGATTAAAAGAACTAATATTCTCCAACTGGTGATGTTATTTGATCAATGTTCTTTGACATGCCTAGTGATGTTATTTGATCAATGTTCTTTGACTTGTCAAACACGTCAAATGGTAACCTCGTTCCAGATTGTGCAAATCTTGACATGCCTAAAAATCTGTGAATTTTGGAAATTAGAAAATCAGATTTCTAGGAAGAAAAAAAAAAACCAGGCCCACAATAGAACTCATCCAGAACTGTCTGGTGAATTTCAATAGAAATGTTGTGGTTTTAACAGAAACGAGAATGACAAAAAAGAAATGAAAGGAGGAAAGAAAGACACTTTTCTAGCAAGTGGGAATGGTTACTTTGTGTTTGGTGACAGGGAAATTGCGTAAAGATGCTCTAGCTTTCAACACCAATCTAGAGACGCCAATCTTTTATGCATGCTATCTGTTTTTTTCCCTGGTATATATTCTGTTTCAAAAGGGTCTCTCGGTTGGTAAAAGGAATGCAGAGATGGCGATAGAATCTCACCAGTATATGGGCGGTGATAGATCGGGCAATCCCCTAGAAGGCTGGTGCCGAAACAACCAGCTTTCTTTCTGTCAAACCCCACCTATAGGGTACTGGAATTGACAGGAAAAATGAAACCATTTATAGGGAGGACTAATTGCAGCGATTCATTAAGACCGAGTCCGAAGAAAGTGTCAGTGGTTGAATTACATCTGTCATGACCTCCTCTAATTATCACATGCAAGAACCACAATCAGCCGTCGCAGAAGATTTCTTTCAAAAAGAAGAAGAAGAAGAAGAAATCCAATATAAAATAAGCGAACCCTTACCTGCCAAGATTCTTTCGCCTTTGAAAGTATAATAGACATTAACTTGGTTAACATCAGGCAGTACAGTTATGTTTTCTCCTTTACAACTGAAATATATGGTTGGTAGCATTTAACCACTCTTGTGTTCTGCATATTTTCATCGAATCCACTGTTACAACAGCGGATAATACAATTCTTGTCACCAAACACACCAATCAAATCAACTATAAAACACAGTTGAAAAGACGAGATTTTCGTTTTAGTTGATGAGGAAAATCAAAGAGACAGAAGAAACCCTAGAATGTTGACGATGGTACCAAATCGACATTGCTTTTAGATTCGATTGAATTTATAGTTATGGCGGTTTTTTTAATTTTTGGTGTGTGTGTAATCTGGATGGAAGGAGTCGATTAAGATTTTCTCACAACTTTTGAATGGAAGTATAGCGTTCTTCTATATTTAACAAAACTTTCAACGCCATGGCAGAATCTCTACACGTTAAGTAAAAGGAGGTTTTGGGGTAGGGAAAATAGTCAAAAAATTAGAAAATATTAGATTCAAAAGCAGTCATTTACGTTCTGGTAATTTGAGCAGTCCAATTATAGTTTGTCATGGACAGAAAAAACGCATTCCAAGTTCTAAACAATGCTGTATGGTTCTAGCAATTGAGGGGTACACAGGCAAGGCCTAATTATAGACTTGGATGGTAGTGAAAAATGCAGCTAATTTAGACAACCATCTTTCCAATCCCTCTCCTGCAGCCGCTCTCGCATTGTTGAGAGCTAGCTCGTCGGTCTGCTTGCGGCCATATTCCTAAACCATAATTCTAAGGCGAAAACAAGACCAATGTGGAGAGTTGCAGCTCTTGCTATCGTTTTCCTTTTCTCCCTTCCTAACCATGCTGACTCTGTCAGGTTGTCCAGGCCGGGGAAATTAAATCGACAAAAACCATTGCTGGCTGCTAAATTATCAACGCCTGCTGAATTCCTTGCTGCTCACAACAAGATTAGAGAAATCCACAATTTAACGCTCTTGGCGTGGGGCCAGAAGTTAGCTGGATATGCTCGCTGGTGGGCCGACACGCGCCTCGATAACTGCAAGAAATTGCTACACTCTCCCAATAGCCCTTATGGAGAAAACTTGTTCTGGGCTCTACGGGATCACTGGAATGCATCAAAGGTAGTCAAGTATTGGGGTGATGAAAGGAATCTTTACGATCCAAATACAAATGAATGCATCAACAACAGTGTCTGCGGGCATTATACACAGATTGTATGGAATGCGACTCAGCGTGTGGGCTGCGCCCATGTTCTATGTCACAATATTCAAGGTCACCTGTTTGTTTGCTCCTATGATCCTCCGGGGAATATTTACTATCATGGTCCATTTGGTGGCCGTTTTAACAAATCTATCGTGAATCCTCCGCCGTCTAATAATGCAAGCTCAACAATTCTAGGAAGTCAATCTGGGATCACCGGGAATAAAGCTAATTATATTGTCTCAAGCACCACTGGGTATCCACCTAATAAGACCTAAAAACGTAAATCGAGAACATGCAATTGAGGTTATGTAGATTTAGATGCGTATCCAGCCCACCTTCCCCACGACTTAAAAACACCTTCCCCCGTGCGGGTACATCTTATAGGTTATGTTTCTTTTTTAGGCTGAGGACTGAGGTCCACTCACTAGGAAGACTTTTTCTTCATGGTCACTAAAATTACAAAAAGAATTTCTTTACTAGGAAGACTTTTGATCATAATTATAAAATCCATCGACAGCTGGGCAACTTTAGTCAGATCATGCAATCCATACCATAACAAATAATGCGGGAACACTTCAGGTGAGTGCGTAGAGGTGCGCTGCGTGATCGTTTCGAAATCGGAGCTGCTCAATATTGAGTAGTTTACAATGATGGTGGATCTATCAGCTGTTGATACCGATCCCTTGCCATTTCAAGTGTTTCATTTTTCGTGTAGAGCATTGATCATAACAAAATCACAGAAACTTCAACCAGTAGAGAATACCTTGGTTTCTAATTGATAAGCTTTGGTGAAGAAAGCTGGCCAACAAAGATATGTTGACATAATGCTACTAACAGTTGATGCACCAATTAATGAGCATGTTCATCACCACAATTTGCAATTGAATGGCTTCTAGTGGAGAAGCTCCTCCCATGATAAGCCCAGTCATTGTCCAGGGAAGTGAAATGAGACCCACAGTTTTGGCATTGTCCAGTACAGGTGAAAGCGCAATAATTAGAGCCCTTTTCACTTGTTGAAGTGTGGCTTGACGCGGCGTTGCTCCAAGAGCCAATGCTGTCTCTACCTGCCACAAAAACCACCCAAATCGAATATGGAAATTGTTGCCAAATTGCAGATTTGAGAATCTCTCAACATCGCAAATGAATCAAAATTGAGGGACTAATTACACTTGGCATTGAATGATAGATTCCTAAAACGTTTTTGTCTTTAACATACCAGGTTCATTTGGACTTTGATATCATCTCGGAGTCTTTTCATTGCAACTCCAGTAGCTTCATTGCATTCCCAACCATCATGCCTGCAACGGGAATGATGTACCGTGGAGTGAAGGGAAAAACGTTCAATAAAACTAGCAGGACCAATGTCACTGCAGTTCCGACCAGGATAGAAGCACCAGCCACAAATTTTCCTCTAGGAACCTGCTTGGCACGTTGTCCAGCTATATATCCAGCAACAGAGACCTGTCAGGGGATTCAACAACAATGTCAAGAACTCGGAATGATTGTTTTTTTTAAAAAAAGAAAAAATGAGACAAGCCTAATTGAAGTCTTGCAGAAAAGGAATCAGCTGCCAAATTCCTTCAATTCTAATCTAGAAAGAGAACCACAAAAACTTTAGACGGATCGTAGGAATTTTCTCGATAAGATTTTCTTGACACTCAAGTTTCAAGATGCAATCAGCCAAGTTAATCTACGGTAAAATTGAGATCTAACATTAAAAAGTATATAAAAAAACAGAAATGGAAAGGCAGAAACTAACAAGTAGTCTGTTCCTGTTGCTTTTTTTGGTCAAACCCGAAAGAGAAGTCAGAATTCAGACAATTTTAGGTATGGCCAGGACTGTTAGTTGAGAGAAAAACCAAAGCTAACATCCACGGTTAAGAAATTCCATGTTTTTGTCTCTAATACAAACAAAACTAAACCTGTTTTCTCTCTGTCTGTCTCTGTGTTCTTCCACATCGGGCAAAGACTGAGCTAACATTACATACCTGTATCATGGAAAGTCCGAGTCAAAAAGAAAGGAAAATAAACCCCAGACATGCACATGATCAGTTGAATTAAGCTAAGTTCATTAATGAGAAAAGGCGCTAGAAAGAATAAACAATTTTTTAACGCAAAGACACTGTATTGATATGATCACAAATAAAAAAAAAAGGATATACAGAAGCATCTCGAGGAATTCATATAACCCTTTGGATATTTCCTTCTTTATTGCCTTTAAATTTTCTTATCAAGCTAAAATATACAGAACTTCCAAGTGAAAAAAAATTTAATGTAGAACAGAAATAACAAAGAAAATAAATTAATACGAACCATGGAAAGGTAAGCAAGGATGATCCATACAGCATGGTCCTGATTGAAAATGAACTGCAAAACAAACCCAATAGCAGAGAGCTGAAGAAAGGATCTAATAATCGAATACACCATCTCTCCCTCCAAACCAAGCTTTTGCATATAGGACAGAATCACCGCCATAAGCACCACTGCTGTAGCAGCCAGTGGCTTTAGCATGCCCTTTAGAAACTTGATCAGCCACTTAAAATTATCATCACCGATACCAGAACTCAGAAATTCATCAAAGTCGAACTCCATTCCAAAAATCCCACCACGCAAACTACAAAAATAATTTCACTGTTTAACTAACTAGCTAGTCGTAGCTTGTTATACTTTAAAGAGATTCGTGGGAGAAAAGTTAGGTCATTTGCCTCTGGTGGTGGCACATATGGTGGCAGAAACGACCTTTTCCTAATAAAAATGAGGTATCTCGTGGAGTTTCTATTTAATGATATATGTGGGTTATCTAAACTACTTTCCGAACTGGGCACAGTTTGTGCTCCTCTGACTACTGTAGAGGTACATTCCGTCCGACAATTTTATTAATCTTTCCAACCATTTTATTATCTTTCTTCTTCTTCAACAACTTCTTTTTATTTTTATTTTTATGAGCAAAGTCATCTCAGAATTTAATATTAAAATATATAATAATTAATTTTACAAAATTAGATATATTTTTCAAATCAATCATTGAATCAAACTAAAAATTTTTAAAAAATACTAAACATATAAAATTATATTGTGATAAATATTCATGTCAAATAAAATTCTGCAACATATTATTTAAAGGATTGAAGTTACATGATGAATCTTGTCAAATCTGATAGATTAGATCTTCGTGCGATATTTAAGACATATTTAAAGTTATAGATAGAATTTTATTGCGATTTAAGTTGGAATGAAAATTAAAAATCTTAAGATTCTCGACTAGATATTATAGACCCAGTAATTTATCTAAATAAAAAAAAATGATATTTTTGAAGTTAAGATTAAAATCTATTAATAATGTACAAAAATTGAATGTTCAGATTACAAGAACAAATTTTAACATGTAATTTTTTTTTATTATCCTATATTATTTATTTAATTAATATTTAATATTTATTTTTAATTTAAATTTTTTCTGAATCATTAGATATTTTTTAAAAATTTATTTTATTAGTAAAATTATTAGTTGAGTTTAGAATTATTAGCTTGCAATTCAAAAGAATCTATTAATGGAGGTTTGAGTTGCAAATTCCATTGAAAAATAAATATGAATTTTTTATTTATATATAAGAAAATAAACCGGTTGTTAGTATTATTTTTTTTAGGAAAGTTTAAATGGATAAAATAATTTAATTAGGGATGTATTTAGAATAGAAGTGTGGTAAGGCGTGATTAATTTTTTTTTATGGGACTCGCATAAAAAACAAGAAAAAAACATGTATTTTTTAATTATAGTAAGGCATAATTTGTATTTTAAAAAGATCATAACTCAAAAAAAAAAAAAAATCACATCTCACGGCCACTCTACCTCAAAGACATACTACCTTCGCTAAATCCAAGTTTCAGACTTGAACGTGACCCATTTGGCAATATATTTTGGACTCAACAGATTCCCTCGGCCCAAAACAATCCTGGAGTGAAAACGACACCGCTTAATCATTACCCTGATTTCTAATCTTCTTTACTCTTCCCACACTGGAAGCAAGCAAGCACAGCCGGCAACAGCCAGAAGCAAACGCCAATCCTTCAAAATCCCTCCCCCAAAAAATGAGCTTCTTACTAAGAAAAACAATCAAATCAAACTCTACTCTACAATCTTTCAAGCCGAACAATGCCCTTTCCTTACTCCTTAGCCAATCCGCAAAACATTTCTCGACCGAGACTCAACCACCACCGCCGCCACAAGAGAATAATGATTCATCCTCAATCGATCCATTTCTTCAAGATTCAGCTACTAGTAAGAATAAGGAAGAGAGAGAACTGATGAATATAATTTTTTTGTTAGGGTCTAGGGTTTATTGTTGTTAACTTAAATTGGTTGTTCATTGCGGGTTAGGTTTGACGTATGCAAGATTTCATGGTGTGAGGAAGCATACATTGAAGACTGACATTATTAATTTATTTGAAGGCTCAAATTTGACACCTGATGATATTATAGTCGTTCACCACCGCTTCAATAATAATCCCTACGCGGCGTAATTTTTTCACTACACCCCTCGCTTTACGTTACATTTCGAGATAGTTTTATTTATCTATCTATTAATTAATAAATCAGTTAATGTTTGTTCTTACATAGAGCGATAAAATTTCCTTCTAGAAGAGCATATGATAATGCTCAGAGGTCACTCACGAGGGCGGGCCGTATATACAATTTGGAAAAGGTAATTTGTTTCTCTTTGATTGATAGTGTTGTGATTTTTGTGTCTGAAAAAGGAAAACTTTCAAGTCTGGTGCTGATGACTGTTTATGGTTGCATTGCAGACTCCGCCTACTGTGTGGGATGCCGCACTTCGAAATTCTTATGATGGAAAAACTGTAATTTGATTTTTTCTTTTCTTTTCTTTTCCTATGCTTGTTGTGATATGTTTAGCTTTTGAGTTAATCAAACGTCATGGAGTATATGTCTTCAAGTCTTTTTGTGTTAGAATCTTGCCGTCCAAAAAAGGGTGTTTGTGCATAATAGCCGATTAAACTTGAGCGTGTATATTTGAAACCATGCAATTTACCGTTGCAATGTGCAATGTTATATATGTTATTCTTGTAAGCCACTGTTCAAGTTATCCTGCGGATGGATGTTATTTTATCAGCTGCATTCTCAATGTTATTTTATCTAATTTTGTAGTAACATGCAAACTATATTAAGAGAGGAAGGTGTGGTCTTCAACATCTAATTGAATTTTCTTACAGGCTCTGATTATTTTTTTAAAAGGTTTCTGAGCTTTATAGAATTTACGAGATGCTTTGCCAGTATCGGTTCAAATGATCCGTGCAGCATTGCATTAATCAATTGCTAGGTGCCTGTGGAAATAATTTCTAGACAAGTTTCAGTCAGTGGAGATTGGCTTTCATTATCTGATAATTATTCTTTTCAGTTTTAAAGATATAACTTCATAAATTATGTCAAGATCCTGCAAGCATATACTATTTTGAAGCAGTTTAGGGACCTTTCTTTGTTACTTCTATCATGAAGACTGTAGTATTTGGTACTTTAAGTAGTTTCCTATGAGCCCCTCAGGGGCGGGGGGCACTGGCTGTTGATGGCATTGAATGCATTTATCCTCATTATGCTTAAGGAACATCATCAGGAAGCCATAGCACATTTCCAATATACTATTGGTCAATTGTCTTGTTTACAATCTTAGAATTTGAAGCCATAGCACATTTCCAATATACTATTGGCTATTTGGTTTGTCTTTATCTGTAGACCTTTACCTGTCGACTATTCTGTAAGTGCTTGATGACTAAATGTCGATTTCAAGACTAAAATAAAGTGTGCTTGACTGGTTTTTGCCCTGGTACAAGTACCTGTATTTTTTTTTTCCCTGCTGCTGTTGCATTTTCAGGAGCATCTTTTGACAACTCAATATTGCTGTCTTGCATTTTATTTTATTTTATGTTAAAAAATGCAATTATTTCCATGGCTCAAGTTTTATGAGACTTCATAGCATTTTTAAGCTGATGCACCTAGATCTGCCTTTGGTTCAGGTTTTACTGGAAGGACTCCCTCCAAATGCACTTAACGAAGATATAGAGCGCTTCCTGTCTGGCTGTCAATTTGTTCCATCCTCAATCAGGACATTTGTAAAGTTAGTGAAGTAGTTTGCTTTCAAGTTAAACTGTTATAGAATTGCTACAATTTGTTAAGGTCATTGCTTGAAATATTATTGCAGGTATCCAGATCCCGTTATGTCTGCAGGAAGAAAGAATCCCACTACTTCTGAAGGAAAACAAGATGCCACTACTTCTGAAGAAAAAAGAGATCCCATTAGAATGGCTACCGTGCTCTTTTCTACACGGACTGAGGCGATGAATGCCTTAATTAAAAAGAATCGAGGCTTCTGTCTCAATAATCAAATCTCAGTGCGGGTTCTCCATTAAAGGATTTTTGCACTATTTGGCCACCTTGTTTCACTTCAAGATTGAAAGTAGAGATGGATATGTGGTACTAGGTACACTCGCTGTGCCTGAAACACAGCTTAATTTACTGAGAACATAATGGACGTCATGTTTTTTTTTTGGAAGCATTGAATATTTTTGACGTTTCAATTATCATGAAGGAATACAAGCTGGCAGCTATTGCAATTTCTCTGTTCTCTCCCAGGACTTTAGATGGGAATTGGTATGGAATAACACTATCTGGTGGCTCTTTAGAACACAAAATCGGATGTTCTTTCTCCATTCCTGCAAGAAAACTTCTCTTTATCCTTTTGTTTTGCAAACCCTGTATACCATCCATGAAAATTCGCTTCATGTTGGATAATCCTATCTTTCTGGGATAATAGTTGCCATTAAACTCTTCCAAAAAATATGAAGAAAAAAAACCTTTTTTTCTTCAGTCACTTTTCTACAGGCATTTGATAAAATCGTCTCCCAAAATTTCATCTGCGGCAAACAAATAAACTAATACTTTATACTTCCCAAATTTAACTGACAGCTGGCTCAGCTATACTTTTTCTCCTTGGAAGTGCTCAAAATAGACACCATATGATTTGCCATGCTATATTGGAATTGAAGAATTGAAGGGCGTGTCCTAGGCTGCATCTAATGCCTCAAGTATACCTGTCAACTAGGAATAAGCACTGTTTTCTTGGAAGTAAGATGGTGAAATGAAATCAGCATGCAATGAAAGACAAAAACTTGGTACCGACTCCATGAACGTTGAGAGCTATCAGCTCCCTTCGTTTGCTGTGAAAGCAACGGTGTTCACATTTCATTGTTCTGGACAAAAAATTGTATCCCTTAAGACTACTAAATCCTTTGCTGTCCACTCAACCAGAACCCAGGTTTTTGTCTTGAAATCACGCACCTTGCAGCTCCCACGAAAAAGGCATTAACCTTGGTACACAGGGGGCATTTTGCACGATCATCCTGCTGATGAAGATGGGAGCTTATGGACTAGCATTCTCGTGTATGGCTTCGCTGACCTCTTGCATTTCAGGTGCGCGTCCAAAAAATAATCATGTGATCTACCAGTCGATCCGAAACATTAACTTCACTTGCTCTAGTGTTTGACCAATCTATTGCTCTAAATCTATAAACCTCATTCTTGTTCTCAATCCAGTTCGTTTTAATTCTATCCTTCATCAATTTCCTCACCCTAGCCTTCTGATCCCAGAACCTCACAGTAGCATACAAGTTCGCCAACTGCACATGGGTAGCACAGTGTTCCCTGGTTCCAGCAACAGCCTGTTCTCTGCAGCTTGTATGTTAATCCAAACACTCCCATGAAGCCTGCAGGAACATAGCGGAGAACCAGGAACATAGCAGAGTTGGGAGCTATAGGCACTCTTTCAATTAAACCTCGTGCTTCTTCTAGTCATCCAGCACTGCCAAGAAGACCAACTATACATGAATAATGGTATAGTTCTAGTCTCACGCCACATTTAACCATCGAATTGAAGTAATTCTTTCCTCGTTCAACAAAACCTGCATGCCAACATGAAGATGAACACAAAGAAAAGTAATGGCATCAGGTTTCACCCCCTGATTTTTCATCCTTTCAAAAAGCTCAATCCCTTGCACTGCCAGCCCATGTCGAGCATAGCCAGCAATCATAGAATTCCATGACACGATATCTTCAGCACCAATGTTGACAAATATGTATAATGCTTCTTCAAGATTCGCACACTTGCAGTACACTGATATAAGAACGTTGGCTATATGCAAATATGAATCAAACCCCATGTGAACTATTTGACAATGAGCATTTCTACCTTGCCAATTCTTTGTGTAACTTTGCATGGGCCATAAAATCTGGGATTTAACTTGAAATGCTTCCTTAAGGCCATGCTTGTTTGTTGACATAGCTGAAGTTTTAAGTACACATAATCTCCTACTTCAAACTTCCCTCAGTTCTTTTCTTATCAGCCATATGCTTCACTCTATATGTTTAGCCATTTCCAACTTCTTTTGCAATAACAGATCCATTTTAACCCTCGTCGGTATCATCTCTTCCACTGCAACCACAATGCTTGCTTCTTGTATAGATAATTCCCTGCTACGAGGTGGATATCCATACAAAGCTTGGAAATGATTCATTTTAATAGCCGAATGAAAACTTGTATTATACCACCATTGAGCTAAGGACAACCATTTATGCCACTTTTTTGGATTAGGCATTGTCATATACCTCAAATAAGTCTCCAGACATAGATTCATCCTTTCAGATTGCCCATCAAATTAAGGATGATATGCAGACTTTAGGAACAACTTAACTCCTAACCTTTTGAACAATTCCCTCCAGAACAAGCTAGTAAAGAAAGACCTTATCCCTGTCTGTCACGGTAGTTGTTGGCAACCTATGGAACTTATAAAAATGGTATATGAACACTTGAGCTACGTCTTGAGCTGTAAATGGATGTGACATGGCTATAAAGTGTCAATATTTAGAAAATCTGTCAACCATCACCATAATCGTGTCCTTCCCTTCTAACTTAGGGAGTCCCACAATACAATACATGGGAATATTCTTCCAAGTTCCTTCTAGAACTGGTAGAGGTTGCAGGAGTCCAGGGTAAGCTACCATTTTCAACTTGGCTTGTTTACTACCTTAGACTCTTCTCTTGTAAGAACTTTGTATTCCTACATGGCCTCCAATATACAAATCATGAGCTGCATTTACTAACCTTTCCCTTAAATTCCATTGTACTCCAATTACAACCCTGCTATTTAATCTTATGTAAAGGTATAATTAGGCCAACTACTTGCATGGATCATTTAGCAATGATATCTTGCATTAAAGTGTCATTCTTTTAAGTTTCTTGCACCTCTTCATGACATGCTGGCACCACTGCAGTGATTGCCTCTAACCTACCACAGCTTGTAACCTCACTTCACATTTATTGGTTGATATTTCAGTATCATTTCTCCTAGATAACGTATTTGCTGCTAGATTTTTGTTTCCCTTCCTGTACTGAATTTGATACTCGAGTCCCATTAGCTTAGCTAACTCTTTCCTTTTGTATTGGTGTATGAATCTTCTGAACCAGGAGCTCTTTTAAGCTTTCATAATTTGTTTTGATTATAAACTGGTCATGCTCCAAATAATGCCTCCATCTTTCAACTACCATCAAGATTGCCATATCATTTTTATAAATTGATAACCCCAGATGCTTGGATTTAATGCATTGCTAAAGGCTAATGGTATGCCTTCTTGGCTCAGCTCTACCCTCAATCCACTGGCACAAGCATCAATCCCCAATATATAAACTTTATCGTGAGGTAATGCTAGCACTAGTGGTGTGCACAAAACTGCCTTAAGCCTGTCAACACATCTCGGATGATATGGGAGTATATTTCGAGGCACTCACATATCCACATGCACCAAAATATGAATATAATAGATTCAGGTGACTTGTTTTACAAGAAGCATCAAACAAAAGTATTCTAATTCCATATCCGGGCCAGTACCAGGCTCAAAGATCAATACGTGAAAAGCCCAGAATCTCTCGATGGTATTTAATTCCAGCTAATTTCGTCTGCAGTTCCAAGCCAAAACTCCCACTTCTTTGTTTGCTTACGAGAACATGAAACTCTTGGAAAAAGTAGCTGTGCTTCTAGATATATCAAATGACAGGAAGAAAAATACGGTGTGCGCCTATTCATTATATACCAACTGTACAATAGAGGATATTAAAGAAGTCGAAAGTTTAGCAATGAAGACTTAATGGAATTGATATAACAGCAGCTTGAACTTTAAATCATGGCTCATAACTCAGAAGTAATCCTAGTATATTCATAGGAAATCATCAGTTTCCTACTTGTGCTGTTTCATAGGATCAAAAGCAAAATTCAGTGAATGAACTGGACCTCTCCCTCTCAATTCAAATAATGTTCTAGTTTCTTTAGGCATTAGTTCACGGCCAAGTTTGTGCAGGACCTTTTGTCTTCTAACGATCCACAGTTTTATATTTGGACTGTTTTTATTCATTATACTTTTCTTTCTTTCTTTTCAGGTTCAAACAGCAATTAATGGCCTTTGGGAGAGTACAGCCAGCGGAACCTGCAAGCTACAGAACTGTCAAACTTGCAAGATTTTTCCGGTTTTGTTAAATCTGAATTGACAACTCACATGGAAACAATAGCAACCAACCATATTGATGCACATAAGAACATCCGTTCCCTTGGGATTCCTTCTTCTGAGGATATGAAAGGATTGAGAAGCAATCACTACCACTCAATTCCTAAGATCATGGAAGCCGGACGATGTTTTGTGGATGAATACAAGGTAAGGTCTTCAGGAACTTGATTGTTTGCCGCACATTATTCTTTATACATATTTGCAGCACATTATTCTTCTTGCATACAAAGCCCATAACATGTTGGCATTAAGGTACCAGTTGTGAAAAGGGAGAATGTTTTGCTTGGGTTTATGCACTGATCTTATTGCTAATTTCAAAATATACATCGGTGCCTGTCTGCGCGTATAAAACAGGTGGATAGGCCTTATTGTTTGCCACTTGAAAAGGGACCGTCTAATACACCAGCACGGAATCTATTGAAGAACTCAGAAAACCCAAATTTCAAAAGTTGACAAGATCATTTTCAGGAGTTTCAGCAGTGAAGCAGAATCTGGGGACCAAAATATTCTGTCTGATGCCAGTGAGTCTGCTCACTCCTTGAATAATTCGAGAGTTACTCCCACAGCCGTCAACTAAGGAGAAGAAACTGGCTGACAGTAACGACACGGTAACACAGTTAGCATATACATATTTGCAGAAGAATAGCTATAGAAAGTAGCATTCCACCAGTTCACTTCTGTTTTATAAGGATTTGTATATCGATTCTTCCCTCAACTAAGTTCCAGCAAGTTTCAATTTCTTGAGCGTCGCTGCATCAAATTCTCTGTATCAGTGCTTACTGTTAAAGCAATTTCTTATGAGTTTTTAACTTGTTTGAGTCTACCAGCCAAGTTAACATACGGAAACTAGATTTGTGTTGTATAGATGCCTACCACATTCTACTTTAATTGATTTATTGGTGTATCAGTAGACTGAAACCCGAACTTTGCAGGGGATTGGAACAACGGCACGTTGAGCTATAGCTCCTTGGCACATCCCTCTGAAACAGATGATACTCACTGAAATCAGTTGGATGTAGTCGGGATTAGAAACGGTTGTTCTGAGGAGGCTTTCAAGCTGCAAAATCTACAACTCTGATCTGGAAGTAGAACAACACTTCAACTGGCTTCAGGATAATGCAATTCAAATGTCAGCTGTTATCTTTAAAAGACATATCAACATGTTTGTATTCAGTCACCGATCTCAAATTACAAAAGGAGAAAACATTGAAAATGAGCAGAGGCAAAATACTGGGAGATGTAAAGCAACTGTGTAAGTCAACAACAAACCAGTCAGGCACAATTTGATACAAAAAAATACAGTTGTTGAATCGCATTTGTTCAAAAAATAAAGATTCTAAGCACAACAAAACTTTACTGACGAGAAGTATGGCATTCTTGGTTGCAATTGACCTAGCAAGCAGGAATACGAAATCCTTCAAAATGGAGTCACAGATTCATGTACACCTGAGAACTCTCCAAAAAGCTTCTCTGTGTCCATCAAGTTTTCTTTCTCTAAACTTCCTGAAATTGTAGCTTTGGTAATTCGTGGGCGGGTCACACTTTTTACTGATTTGTGAACTACAGTCTTTTGGTTCTTCTTGATAATCTTCTGTGCTAGCGACTTCAGTGGAACTGTAATATCAAGAGGCAGAAGGACCTCTTGCAACTCTTTCCAGTCAAGTTCTTCGGAATCACCATCTTCATACACCACCCTGTACCAGCCAGTTTCCTTATCGAACAGAGACACAGTACCACAAAAATAGCTCTCTCCGAACAACTTCCGAACCTCTCTTCCTTCCAACCATTCACCGAAACTCGAATCTCTGAAAAAATCTGCATTTTGACTTGTAGTTCCACACGTACATGAGAGAACAGGAGCAGCATCACTCGGAGAGATGTCTGGCACGCCATTAATTACTATCGCAGGCTCTCCCGGTAACTCGAAAACCCCTGTTGGTAAAGACTCCAATTCTAGCTCTTTGCTTGTGTTATCCATTTACAGCACTCTTTCTCAATCAGCTAATGGAAATTCAAAACGATCCGGGAAGGCAACGAATTTATGAATTACTTATAATCTGTAAAGGAAAATTCCAAATAATTAGAAGATTTAGATTGAAAGCATGATAATTAATTGACTTGACGACATTTCATAGACTACGGCCCATATTTTAAGCTTTCTAAACTTGTGCTACAAATATTAACACCAGGAAATCACTTCAATCTATCTCCCACCCTAACTCATGCAAATCAGTATAGTTTAGATAATCAAACCCTATTTCCCCTAATTTTTGTCCCAAACAAAAACCCTACCTTCATCTATAAATCACAAATTAAGAAAATGAAAAAAACTTACTGATGTGAACTCAAGCTGAACTCAGTGTTTCACCGTCGTGATTTCAAGCATCTCATAGCTTGATTTTCCCCTTTCAAGTCCTTTTGGGAGCTCCAAAAATCCCCACCTCCTAACCGCCTGCCTCCCCGGGATATGAAAAATACCATGCATTCGATCCTAACAAAGTTACGCTACAACCCAACACGTCGTCGTTCTCTGAACTACACGTCGTTTAGAGCACAAGTATAAAACCCCGAACTATTTATTCAAAAGCCCATCACACCCCACCAAAACAAATGAATGTGGCGCAATAAAATATCAAACACCTTCACCAATGGCCAATACGACTATCTCTTATACGGTCGTCTGTTCAAGTACTTTACAGACAACCGTCTTCCTCTCCAAGCCAAACAACTTCACGCACGCCTCCTACTCTCTTCATCAACGCTTGACAACTACCTTGGCGCCAGACTCATCAATTTGTACTCGAAAACCAAACACATCCACCACGCACGCCATGTGTTCGATCAGATTCCCCATAAAAACACCTTTTCTTATAACGCCTTGTTAATTGCTTACACTATGAATAACCACCATAGAGAGACAATAAACTTGTTTTCTTCGTTGTTATTGTCTTCATCTGGGGATGTACAACCCAATAATTATTCGATAACGTGCCTTTTGAAGTCGTTATCGAGCTTGATGGTTACCGATGTTTGTTTGGGCAAGGAGATTCATTGTTTTGTTTTGAGACGTGGGCTTGTTGAGGATGTTTTCGTAGAGAATGCTTTGATTAGTTTTTATTTGAAATGTTTAGGTGTGGGTTTTGCGAGGAAATTGTTTGATAAAATGCGTGAGAGAGATGTTGTGACGTGGAATTCGATGATTGCTGGGTATGCACAAGCTGGGTTTTTTAAGGAATGCAAAGAGTTGTTTAGAGAAATGGTAGCCCTTCCTGGGTTTAAGCCTAATGCAGTTACGGTGCTTAGTGTCTTGCAAGCGTGCATGCAGTCGCAGGATCTTGTTTTTGGGATGGAAGTTCATAGGTATATAGTTGATAATAAGGTTGAATTGGATGTTTTGGTCTGTAATGCATTGATTGGATTGTATGCGAAGTGTGGGAGTTTGGATTATGCAAGGGAGTTGTTCGATGAGATGAGTGAGAAAGATGAGGTGACTTACGGAGCGATTATATCAGGTTATATGGCTTATGGTGTTGTTGATAAAGGGATGGAGCTTTTTAGGGAAATGAAAAGTCGAGTATTGAGCACGTGGAATGCAGTGATTTCCGGTTTGGTGCAAAATAACCGGCACGAAGGGGTTTTAGATCTGGTAAGAGAAATGCAGGGGCTTGGTTTTAGGCCTAATGCTGTAACACTTTCAAGCGTACTTCCTACTCTATCGTATTTTTCGAATTTGAAAGGAGGGAAAGAGATACATGGTTATGCAGTTAAAAATGGTTATGACAGGAATATATATGTTGCGACTGCAATTATTGATACCTATGCAAAGCTGGGATTTCTTTTTGGGGCTCAGTATGTTTTTGATCAATCAAAAGAGAGGAGCTTGATTATTTGGACTGCAATAATCTCTGCACATGCTGCCCATGGTGATGCTAATTCAGCTCTTACGTTTTTTGATGAGATGTTGAGTAAGGGAATTCAGCCAGACCATGTAACATTCACTGCAGTGTTAGCTGCGTGTGCTCACTGTGGAATGGTGGATAAAGCTTGGGAGATTTTCAATTCCATGTCTAAGAAATATGGCATTCAGCCTTTAGGAGAGCATTATGCTTGCATGGTTGGTGTTCTGGGCAGGGCGGGCAGGCTCTCTCAAGCGACAGAATTTATTTCTACTATGCCAATTGAGCCAAATGCAAAAGTTTGGGGTGCACTGCTCCATGGAGCTTCACTTTGTGTTGATGTTGAGCTTGGGAAGTTTGCTTGTGATCATTTGTTTGAAATTGAACCAGAAAATACTGGCAATTATGCCATCATGGCAAATTTATATTCTCAGGCAGGGAAATGGAAAGAGGCTGATGAGGTCAGAGAAAGAATGATTCAATGTGGTGTGAAGAAGATCGCAGGCAGTAGTTGGATAGAGACTAGTAATGGGTTATAAAGCTTTATTGCAAAGGATACCTCTAATGAAAACGCTTTGGAGATATATGCAATGTTGGGAGGATTTTCTGGATTGATGAAGAAGGGAATGTCATGGAGGATGATCTCGAGAAGGTGGCTGTTTGTGGTTGAACACTGAACTCACTGAATTGAACAGAATAGGTGTAAATTAGGAATGAGCATGAGCACGTCAACGCAGATATGTTTTTAATAAATCCTCTGAGATTCACATCCCTTGCTCGGTTGCTCTCACATCACAGGGGGGGTCCCTAACGATTCGCATTGCAATATCCAGAAGCATCATATTTATTATTGTTGAAATATTTAGAGTTGGGGAGTAATTTTTGTGGAAATTAGTCCCAGACAATTAGTAACTGCGCTCAAATTTCAAAACCACGGCTGGTCCCATCTTCGGAAGTGTTTAATGAGGAAATACGCAGCCATCATAGAGGTCAGGGATCCTAAACAATGCCCAACCACAACTTATTATGTTTTCGTTACCTATTTCCTGACAAAATCTATTTTGATTCCCAATATTCAAAGTGTATAAATTTCTAGGAGAAAATTGAGATTGATTCCCGTAACTAGGAAGTTCAGATGATACGTTGTGTCAAGGGATATTTTTCACTTGGGAAATTTTTTGGCGTCACTTGGGAACAGGTTTTGGAGTAGTGACTCTTAGCTTTACCTTGATTGTGGTGTGGTGGCTTTTTCTCATTACTAGCAACCATCATAACTGTTAGCTTTAGCTCTTTACTGGGGCAAGAGGATTCAAGGTCTTTCTTTTTATTCAAGTGGCAAGCCTTTACTTGCAGTGGTAGTTAAAGTGTCCCCTGGTATGTGTAACTGTCCTAGTTATTCCCCTTCCTTTCCTTTAGCTGTTCCTAATGTACTTACCGATTTGCCTCTAACTAATCATTATGTCTGCCATGGTTGAGAAATGCCCTGCTTTTGCATAATGACCAAAACGCCCAGGGTTACTTTCTTTGACTTGTAATCTCGAAGTAGCAGCTCTTCTTTTGATATTGTCAACTGTATACTTATTGGATAATTTTACAATCTTACATGCAAGTGTGAAGGGTGACAATAGGCCGTGATAAGGGCGAGAGTAGCGTGCTTGCAAGTTCCATGAAGCCTTTTATTAATCAATAATGTAGTTTATAGGAGACAACAGAAAGAAGCCATGGATGGGCCAAATGATTATTCTTCCTCTTCTACTTGTCTTGTTGCTTTTAAGGGTGGAGCATTCTGGTGAGAGACAATGAAAAGAATGGAATGTGGCATGTGGTTGAACTCGACATGTACTTGTGGACAAAATACATACAATACTCCCATACACTCCCTTCTATTTTTCTCCACACCTCAACTTCCCTGAGTTTCATGAATAGCCAGCACCGGCAGCCACCGAAATCACCTTTTGCAAGCTGGTGTGCCTTTCTTCCTCTTTGCTACAAGACTGTCATGCCCAAGAATATAGCCACGGAAAGTAGCAGTAATTGTATTTTAAAGTATTTTTTATTTTAAATATATAAAAATAATATTTTTTATTTTTTTAAAAAAATATTTTTAACACTAATATATTAAAACGATTCAAAAATATCCAAGTTATTTAAAAAAAAATATAAAACATGGTTTCAATATAAAAACTAATATCCAATATTCAACCCTAAGAGAAATAAGAGAGTTTAAATATATGATCATTATAAATTGAATTATAATTAAGTTTTTATTAATATTTTTGCGAAGTCATCAACACTTGATTTTATATTTTAATTTGTTTAATTCTCAAATTAATAATTGAATAGAATATAAGCTGTAAATAGATTTTGGAAATAAGATATCCTCCACTCATCCAAAAACTTGACGATATTGGAAGGATTTGGATTAGAGGTGAATCACTCTCCTTATCTGATGACTCGTGATATAAGATTTTTTTTTTTTTTTTTTTGGGAACTAGTAATACAAGGGAGATAATTGTCATTAGCAAAACAACAAATAATGCCCGACTAGTCGGTCAGTTAAGCTCGCATAAAAAGCCACACATTCTTCAGCCTTTCCACACTCTCCAGGCGCACACGATCCCATAATGGAAGAAGAAACTATCATCACGGCAGCACTCTCCACCCTCGCTTCTCCCCAGCTTACAGATCTCACCAGCTCCATCCTCTCGCTTACCCCCCACCATCACGGCCGCCTCTCCTCCCTCCTTTGCTCTCCCTCCCTTTTCTCCCTCGCCCTTCACCATCTTCACTCCCTCTCCCTCGCTCACAAAACCCTACTCATTGCCAAATACCTCCTCTCATCCCTCCACCACCTCACACGTCACTTCCATCCACCAACACTTATTCCACCACACCCTGCCACCACCATCAAACACCGCGATCTCGACGCCGCATTGCTTCTCATTTTCCTTTGTGATGTACATCAAGAAAGCCCCGAAATACTTAAAACACCACGCACTGGATGGCGTGAGGGTTTGAGGAAGCATTACTCGAAAACTGTATTAAGGCGATCAAGCGTTGGGGTGCATTATGGTGGTGTCCTCTTACCATACGTTGAGATGGTCATAAGGTGTTGGAGGTTTGTTGGTGTAATGGCTGGCTGCGCAGTGAAGGAGGGTAGGGAGGTGGCAGCAGCACCGGCAGCAGTGGTGGCGCTTCCGGCAGTGGAGGTGAGAGGAGGTGGTGGTGAGTGTGTAATATGTAGGGGTAGAGGTGAGAGGAGGTGGTGGGGAGTGTGTGATATGTAGGGAAAAGATGAGTGGAGGTAGAGATGTGTGTGAATTGCCATGTGAACACTTGTTTCATTGGATGTGCATTTTGCCGTGGCTAAAGAAGACGAATACTTGCCCATGTTGCAGGTTCCAGCTTCCCACTGAAGATGTGTTCTGTGAGATCGAACGGCTGTGGAGTGCTCTAATCAAGATTGGTGATGGGGCCCTTAGTGGGGAACGCACGTGATGGGTGGTGATCATGGCAGGATGACGAGAACTTACTGCCCTCTCTACCGAGTTAAGATAAATTTGCATCTCCTAAGCCTATGTGGGCAATTAAGGTTGGGTTATAATGAATGGTTGTGGTGAATAGGGTGTAGAGGATCACTTCTTCATGATAAAGACACGTGTGGATGAGGCTAGAGTCGTGTTTGGAGAATTGCTGATTTATAGCTAAATAAATGTGATGGGATTACAGATATTTATGGGGTTAATCGGCAGAGCAGATTAGAACGTCTAGGACCAGTGGTTTCTCACAATCACATTAATTTGGTGGGCCAATAGTATTTTATTTTTGTACATATCAAAACATGAAATAATTAACCCGCGTTTGTTTGTTGTTTCGTTATTGTTTTTTAAAATATTTTTTTTATTTTTAAAATTTAATTTTAGTATTAACATATTAAAATAATTTTAAAATATTTAAGAATATTAATTTTAAAAAATAAAATAAAAATTTATTTTTTTTCAAAAACAAATAAGAAAACATTCATGCTAGCAGAACTGCATCTGATCTCAGACTTCGAATCAGTTAGCAGGAAAAAGAAACGGCTGTATGGTGTTTAGCGTTGCTGTGTGTTGGGCTTTATGCAATAATCGTGCCCTTGTGTGCAGTGTGTTGGCCCATGACTACAGTATCACGAGAGAGGCTTTCATCTATTTTAAGAATTATGACAGTGATAATGATTTAAAATATTTTTTATTTTAAAAAATAATAATTTTTAATATTATAAAAAATATATAATAATTTTAAAATATATTAAATAATATTTTTTAATAAAAAATAATTTTAAATTTTAAAAAAACACGATTTCAACTGTTTTTTCAAACTTATATTCTATCTGAACCGCGGCTACTTCAATTTTGTCATGGGCTGGAAAACAAAACGAAACTGATAGAGGTAATTCCCTCTTCCAATCATCCCATTTGGGCTTAATTCGTCCATAAGAGATCCAACCATCGTGTGCTTGGCGCAGCAATTACGCAAAACGATTTCATGTAAAATGTCTGCAGCATTGCTCTTGGAAATCTGAATAAGAATATCAGAATGCTTTCACAGCTCCCGTGATAAAATGTTAAGAATTAGAAAAGTACAATAGAAATGGGCTTCCTCGTTAACTTGGGTCAGGGCCCAGATCAGTTGCCCAAGAAAACCTTAATTAGTAAATCACAATCACCTCTTCTCTTGTAATTTTCCTTCAAAATATTTTCCCTTCTAATGTGAATGTGAAGTAAACTTTTTTACCTTTGTTTATGTAAGGGTTTTGAAAATATGGTATTGGTTTTTTTTTAAAAAAAAAATAATTATTAAAATAATTTTTTATTTTAAAAAAAATTATTTTTAAAATTAATATATAAAAATGATATAAAACCATTAAAAAAATTAATTTAAGTTTCAAAAATAATTTTAAAATATAAAAATAAACTGACTCTTAAAGAGAAGAACAATCCTTGTCAAGTAAGTAATGAGTGCAAAATCTCTCGTTTATTTAGGAACAGACTAAAGAATTGGCCTTGCCACCATTTTTCTTCCCTATACTCTACCTCCAATGAAATAGTTCTTCTTATGGAAGCGTCTTGAACCTTCCAAGCATGAACTGCAGACAGTAAACAGTAAAATTATGATCTTTTTTTTCAAAAAGAGAGAGAGATCATAATTTTACTGTTTATAATTATTTAATTTATTTTTAATTTTTTATATCAAATTTTATTTTTAATTTTTTATTATTTAATTTTGTACTTGGGAAATTTTTAAAATTAATAAAAAAATTCAATATCATCTTTCAACATCAAATTAATTAGGAAGTACTTTCTTATTGAACTCAAGTTTAAAATTTCAAAAATTACGAATTTAGAGATTAATATGAATTTAAAATATTTGTTTAAATTTATTTCAATTTTTTTTTCTAACCTTATTTTTTTTGTTTTATCCTTCATTGTCTATTTAATTGAAGATTAAATTCTATTATTTTTTTTATAGTATCTTTTATTAATTTTAAAAATAATTGAAGATATCTCATTTCTTTTTATTTGTTAATTTTTATAACATAAAATGACCACTTCATTATATTTGTTTGGTTTAGTAAATTTGCTCATGCAGTCTTTCATAATTACATTAAAAAATAGAAATGTTGTGGTAAGTTTTTCCCGAGTGATGGGATAGTGTTCCATACATATGGACACTGGACAGTGAGTTTTCAATGGGTTTTTTCTATCCTCTTTTGGACAACTAAGTTTTTATAGTTATTATTATTTTTTATTTTATTTATTGTTAATGCCATTTTTAATTTTATTATTAAAGTAACCGATATTACTTAACTTAGTAAAATAGAAATCCACGTCACATAAACATTCTTTTTTATGCTGCCTGCGGTGCAAGCGCAGGAACCTATCTAACTTTAAAAATGGAGCCCACAGAAAAAGAGGAGGACGTCCATTTGTATGTTGATGGAGTGCCCTTAAAGCTCCTTTGTCCATACTCCCCAGGGGAAGCCATGCTAGCTTGGTGGGCAGCCCTCATAATGCAAAATCAATTCGAAAGGTTATTATTAGTAAAAACTAAATCCTGCCCCCTTTCTTGGTGTGCAATGCAAGCTAATCTTTAATACTTTTTAAGTTTTATAAAGATTTAAAAATTGTATTTGTTTAAAATTATTTTTTTATATTTTTAATTAAAAAATATTTTAAAAAATAATTACTACATCAATACATAACATCTAATCTAATGATACTAAATAATGTTGAAGTTACAATACATAATAAAGTCATGATAAAAAAAAAAAACAATACAATATATAATAATAAAGGGGTAATAAATAACAGAAGATCATGGTGAAAGATATTATTGATATTCTAACAGATGGAAATTACTTTTACTGGGAAAAAAAGGGTGAATAAATTTGGCCAGTTGCTTGCTATAGAGGAAGACAATTCAGGGACATCACGTGACAGTGAGCAAGAGCCAGGCTCAGTCAGAAATGCTGCCTCGTGATGTAATTCAAAATTTTGAATTGTTTTTCTTGTAGCTGTCCGTTTATACACGTGTCATTGTATAGTAGTGTATATATGCGGGTTGGGTCCTTCCATGCAGGGCAATAAACGGAGAGTGGTAAATATTTTCTTTATCATTCTCATTCAAAAATAAATATTAACTTTAGTTATAAAAAATTCAAAAAAAAAACATATGAAATTATCATAATAATAAAATTAAAGTCAAATGCAATGGAAAATTGAGCGACTAAATGAAGAAATGGTCTAGAAAAAATAGAAGAATTTTTTTTGTCCAAGTGAGTTGCACATATAAAACTTGTGTGTCTCAAACTGCGCAGGTTTAATTAAGAAATTATCTTTTTAATTATATTAATTTGAATTTTTTGTATAATATTGGAAATGTTATAAAAATTATTTTTTAAATTATTTTTTATTTAAAAATATATTAAAATATTTATTTTTATTTTTAAATATTTATTTTTTATATCAATATATCAAAACAATTTAAAATTATAAAAAAATAAATTTTTATAACCCACACCCCTAAACTGAGATGAAGACAAGAAATTTTTTACTCCAAGCAGGGGCAAAGACAGTTTTTTTTTTTTTTTTTAAGAAAAGGACAAGACCAACCAAGTTAAATAATGAAGGGTTGCTGTGAAGGAAAAAAAACAAAGTTGGATTTAAAGGCACCTGATACGAGCAAGAGAGACCAAGCACTCGGTTTTGAAATAGTAAACTACACATTTGTTAGTTCCCCTATGTTTCAACTTTCATAGAATCTTTCTGAGTTGTTAGTTCAAAGAACAGTAGTTTCTGGGATAAAGGCCCTTCACATTTCTTTCTTTGCTAAGAATTTAACACACTAAGTGGTTTCAGTGGCAGAGAAAATGACAGCACCTGGCAAGGAAGAGAAAGTATGGAGGTGGGTTCTCGTTGATCTCTCTGTTTTCTCTTCCTCGATATGTTCTTATCTCTTACATTGTGAGATGGATTGTCTCTCATTATCAGTGAAAGCAAGAAAATGGAAGGACGGGATAGTTGGAGGACTCTAGAATGCCTGAGAGGAAGATTGCTTGCAGAGAGACAAGCTTCAAAGATTGCTAAAGAGGAGGCAGAACTCATGGGCAACAAGGTCTGTTTCTTCTATCCCATGAATTTGTTTTGCTTTATTTTTTCTCCTTCTGGGTAGATTGATTTATCGCATGCATCACATCTGGGATGCCAATATACACCCACAATGCATCAACTGTAAGATCTCAAGTTCCTTTTTCATCTATTTTTAATGGTATAGTTAATAGAGCTAGAGAACAAACTCAGAGAAGAAACCAGATTAAGGAAAAAAGCTGAGAAGAAGCATAAACTCTTGATGAAGAAGCTCGAGTCTTTGAAAATCTCACCTACATTAGAGGGATCAGAGAAGTCAAGTTTATCTGACAATAGTGGATTTTCTAGCACATCATCCACAAGTACTTCAGGCCACAAAGACCCTGAAGAATCTGAATCCAAGCCCCAAAGCACAATCCAAGCACTCTCACTAGATATGAAAGACAATGGCTCCGAAACAACTACATCCAATCAAAATGCGTGTATTGTTTTGGATTCCATTCAAGAGAGTACTGGCACTCAAGATACTCAAAATTCAAATTCTGAACATAACCTCAAAGACTATTCCTTGGATAAATCTAGCCATGAATCCATGGCATGTTCCCAAGATTCAAAAGCTGATGACCTAAGGTATGCAGTTCAACATGCGTTGTCCTTTTCAATTAATCACTTTTATTTATGCTAATCTGATGGGGTTTCTCTAAGCTAATTTTGTTAGTATTCTGATAATCTCTTTCAGTTCTTCGAGCATCAAAGCTTCAGTGGTGGAGATGGAGACAAATGCAGGAATTGAGAGTGATAACGAGGACTATGTGGATGATTCTTTGGCATTAGTCCCCATGAGTTTTCCAGCATCTACCAAGAAAAATGAGTTGAGGATAGTTAAAAGAAGTGTTATTGAAGTTCTTGATGCCCTAAGGCATGCCAGGGAGCAGATACAAAGCTCAATGGAGAGCCGACACATGATTAGAGTTGGCCCATCTTGAATGCATGTTTGTTAAATGCAAGTGATGTGAGTTGTATAGATAACAACATATTTAGCTGAAAGCCACATTAGGATGGGCCTCTATGTTCTTTTTGCATGGAAGCAAGAAATGGCCAAGCATGACGAGGAGGGTAGAGTACTGGCTGGCCTAATTAGTATCGCCGCATTGATCATAGGGTTGAATGGGCAATAAAGTTTTATGATATTGAACATCGAAGAAAGCATGTGATGTGGGGAATCATCAAGGATGTGCTGTCCAGTTGATGCTGGACCTGGTGATGATGGTCATATTCTTTCTTGTTTTCATTCTGCTTTTTGAGTTTGATTAGACTTTGACGGTTGAATGCGGTCACTTTTTGGTTGATTCTTGTGGCTTGCACACCTGCATGGAGATGGAGTATTGGGCTTAGGCCAAGGCTTGCTAATTTGTTTCTAGGCTTATATTCAGCAGAGTTTCTCAATATGCAAATACATAGCATTAAGGTTTAGTGCACTCTCTGTTTCTGAACTTTATTTATTTTTGTTAGGATCATCATAATCACAAGTGCCAAATCAGAGTAACCCTTCCTTGGAAAGTCTGAAGGCTTTTAATAAAGCCCAAGCTTCTTCTAGATGTTATCAATTCAGATCCTAACATCAATTTCATCATGATTCAACCAAAAACGAGCGTCCCATGATGGCTGATGAGGTTAAAGAAGCTTACACGAAGCTTTAAAATAAGATGGCAGTGGATATTGTTAAACCCCCTGCAAGCAGCGTTGAAAATCAGAATAGGAGTTGAGAGGGAGCTGAAGAAGGTTTTGTCTGTAATGTAAAACCATCCCAAAACATCAAAATGAGTTTGCTTACTGCAAGCATATTCCCTGAACTTGACAAGCATATCATCTGTTCTTGGATTGCATGCCATCCCATCACATGCATGAGTATATCAAGATTCCAAAACAGAGCAGATTTGTTGGATTTATTGATAGATACTTCTAAGGCAATGTTTCGTTGTCCTATTAAAACAGTTTTTCAGACCTTCGCGAGCACCCGAGGAGGATGGTCTTCTCCACTTCACGAGTTCAATTCAAGCAAGCTCATCGGCCGAAGGATAGGATCCCAGTCCTTTTCTTTGGGCTGAGCCTAATCCGAAACCAAGCCAACCTATCAACTGCAGTTTTGTTGCCCTAAACCCAATACCCATGGTAGATTCAAGGATCGATGTGACTATGCAACGGTGGAAAATGGATATAATTCATCACCGCTCTTTCTCCATATATGTACTCGTAATCATAGCTATCAAAACTAACCAAAATTAACTCGGTTAAGAAGCAGGTTTCAAAAATACCTTAAATTAATCTAGAATTTTTTTTAAAAAATATTTTTTAATATTTTATATTAAAAAATAATTCATATAAATATAAGTTATATATATTATAAATAATAAAATTTAAATATTATTTTAAAGCGTTATTTATTTTATATTTAAAAAATATTATATTATCCAAATTGAATATAAGTTATACATGTTATAAATGATAAAGTTTAAATATTATTTCAAAAAAAAAATTTATTTCACATTAAAAAAAATATTATGTTATCCTTTTAAATTGAAGAATTTAAACTAAAAATATTTTTTATCCCATATTAAAAAATATAACTTTTTTTCTTACAAATATAAAATATATATTCTATAAATCTTCAAATCTCATATTAAAAAAATAAAATATTTTTTAATATTTATATAGTAAACTTTAAAAATAATTAATAACCAATTAAAAAATATTAAAAAAAGTGATTTCCAGGTAAAATATATATTTGAAAAAAATCAGATCTTTATCAAGTTTTACTAGATTGATTGGGTTTTATTATTTTTTTATTTTTACAAATTTTTTATCTTACTTAAACCAGTCTATCGATCAAGTAAACCTGCTAAATTCATTCGGATTTAATAACTATGTTCGTAATATGCATGCATGAGGCTACCAAACCAGTCATCATGTTGGGGATCTGCTAAGAGTATGTACAGTACAAGCTTGCCTATAGCAGCAACTAGGTGAATCAACTTGAGTAATTTGGTTATGCCCTAAAAGCCTGGACTTCTATTGACTAATCAACGGAAAAGATGTTTAAGATAGCTCTCTCTACTGTAACAGATTACCTTAACTGATTTGGTTTTAGCCCAGAAGTGGTGGCGGGTATAGAAATCTCCCTCAATGAGATCAAAGCACGAGCTAAATATAAATATTATATTTTCATTACCCATATAATTTTAAACATGAAATTGTATAAATATCTCAAAACGTGGAATTATATACTAGTTTGTTTCACGCGCTGTATTACAAGATGGCTGTATTACAAGATGGCTATATTACAAGATGAAGCATTTTTTAAAAATAAAAAAAGGTTTATGTGTTGTTAATAATTTTTTTATCATTGAGAAAAAATTTAATAGCAAATTAAAAGTTTTATAAATATATTCAATAAAATAAATTAAAATATATATATGCTAATAAATGATAACAAATATATTGATTCTAATCAAAAATTGAGTTTGGAATCTAAGATAAAAATGCTATTTTATAAAAAACAATTAAATATTTATTTCAATTTAAAATTAGATTCTTAAAGTTTTAATTGGTTTAAATCAATAAAATTTTATTTTATTTTTTAAAATCAAGTATTCACATAACATCAAAAATTCCTTTTAACATTACAAAAGCTCTATACAAAGTTAACTGAAATAAAATATCAAACATAATTTTAAATCAATTTAATATGAAATGGTTAAATTAAAATTAACAGATTTCAGGTGACTAGAAAAAAAATAGTAAACACCTTGGGTAACAATGTCACCCGCAATGCATTTTTATTAATTTTTTAATATTTATTTCATAGTATTGCTTTTCATATTTATAATTCTAAATATTATTTCATAATTTAAAGAGTTTTAAATTTATAAAACCAAATTTTAATTGTTAAATGAAAAGTAGAATGACTTGATAAAAAAATATAAATAAAAAAATGATCCAATAAAAAAGGAAGTGAATGAAAAAAAATAAAGGTGGTTCTTTGTTTTTAATCTAAATATAATCTTATAGTTTAATGATATTTAATTTTATCAAATTGAATTACAATTTTTAAACAGAAAATAAAATAACTCAATAATATATATATATATATATAAATCAAATAAAAAGAAATGTGAACGAAAACAAAAAACCTAAGGTGATTAAATATTCTTATAAAAAGTGTTTCCACCCTCAAATCTTAACGTGTTTATAATACTTTTTCTAACCTGACCATTAGTTTTTTTCAAAGTAATTTAAGAGAGAAGCATTACTTGATATTGAATTCCTCTTATTCTATACTTTTATGAATTGCACTTTACTTTCTAGATCAAACAAAAAATAAAAATAAAATAAATTTTTAATGATGTAGATTTTTATTAAATATATAAATTATAAGATGAAAAATAAAATTTATAAAAATATAGAGAAAAATAAAATTTAGATCAAACTATATAATGATTTTTGTAACTATCTCTTTTAATAACCATAAGATTATGGTAGAGCTTTTATAATCTACCAAATATTAAAACTTAAAAGGCAAGGACTGGATATTATTTATGGCTATTTTATCTTAATTCAATATTGGTCTCGCCTTTTCATATAAAAATAAAACTAAACAAGTAATTTTATTTAGTCCACTGCACTCCACGATGCTCATGATCCAGGAGCTACAACTCTTATTTCAGCCCGTTTTGTACAATTTTGGCCCATTTTAGCTTCTATTTTCTGCTAGATTAATTTTATTAATACTTTTATAATTTTAATATGTTAATTTTAAAAAAAAAAAAAAATCTTAAAATGAATAATTTAATATATTTTTAAATAAAAAATACAGTAGAAACCCACGGAATAGTCTCATAATCAAAACTTAAGTTACTTGGTTAAATCTGGTCTCGGGTCAACTATCTAGTTTCGGGCCGGGTCGGTCTTATAACTGTTGGTCCCAATTCCAATTTGGTGCTTGCTCCATCGCGCATTCCATCCATCGCAGAAACAAATTCCGTCATGGCTCCCAAAGTGAAAGGCAAAGCGACGGCATCGCAGCAGCCTCCCCCTCCAATTGAAGATCTATTCACTAATCTCAATCGACACATCGAGCGATCTGAGTTCGAGCAAGCCGTCAAAGTCGCCGATCAAGGTATTTATTCTCCTTAATTTTATTTATTTATGTATATACTTATTTTGATCTTAATTTGTGTTAATTTTATCGCAGTTCTGTCAGTAGCTCCAAACGATGAAGACGCAATTCGATGCAAAGTAGTGGCTTTGATAAAGTGTGATAGCATTGACAAAGCTCTTTCGACTATCCACCCTGCTCAAAGGCAAAACCTTCCTTTTGATTTCTCTTACTTCAAGGTAAATCCGCTGATTATTGATAAATTATGAACAAAATAAAAATGTAAATTTTGCTAGGAATATTTAATTTTGCTAGGAATATTTACTTTCTGTTTGCTCTTTTTAATGCATCTTGAATTTGCTCTGATATTTTAATCAGTAATTTTGGTGGTCTGGATATTCTTTTTTTCGTACCTTTCCCTAAAGCAATTTAGGGTTTTTGAGGTTCGTTGCTAAAAACACGCACATAAATCTATAGAATTGACTCTCTTCTTGCTGGTGTGTTAATAGGCATACTGCTTATACCGACAAAACAAGTTGGATGAAGCATTGGAGTCGTTGAAAGGTCTTGGGAGAACTTCGGAAACAATGTTGCTAGAATCTCAGATTCTGTTTCGTCTAGGAAAAATGGATGCTTGTGTTGATGTCTATCAGAAGCTTCAAAAATCGAAGATTGATACTTTAGAAATAAATCTTGTTGCTGGGTTGATTTTGGCTGGGAAGTCTTCTCAAGTTCAGGGAATGATGGAGGCAAATCGGATTAAAGCTTCTAGCAGTTTTGAGTTGGCATACAACACTGCTTGTTCTTTGATTGAGAGGAATAAATACACTGATGCAGAACAGCTTTTGCTGACAGCCCGAAGGTGATACACACTTCTTTGCTCTTTCTAGATATTGATTTTATGGAAATATTCAATGGCACTACAATTTCACTATTGTGGCTTGCATTGGTATCTATATACTTTTTCTAAATCTCACCAAAGTGGTGGATTAATTGTTGTGTGCTGAATACTGGATGAAATCCATAAGCTTGTCGAAGTTTTATAGTCCTTCATGCTTGTGTTTTTTTGTCAGATATAAAACTTTTGTTTGTTCATGGCAAGGCACATGTTGAGGATGGATTTGTCTCCATTTTCTATTATTGAAATTTTCTATGCTGAAGTGGTCTCTTTTTGAAGCATGAATAATAAATGTC